ATAAAAATTCCCATTTTCCCGTTTCCGCTATCCCAAATTAAAATATTTACGATCAATTAGATGGCGTTTTATTTTATTTTTTTGCAAACAGTTGATAACGGCCATATTGTAATTGTGACCGCCATGTTCATACTGTTTGAGATTCTATATTGTTGTTGTATTAACTGAAGATATTTTTGTGCCTAATTTAATTGTTACAAAATCTTTTAATTGCCAGTTTAGTCCCAACTAATGTTGGCGATTTGGATGATGTAATAGGGTTATTTACCCCTCGTTTGAAATAATAACAGTAATTATAATATTCACCGTAACAATACAAACTTTGATAGTAATAACAAAAATGATAGAAATAATGACAGTATTTTTAACAACAAAAATAAATGTAATATTAATCACAGCAATAATGATTTTTATAACTTTTAAAATAAATTTTTGTCCGCTTTTAGTATTAGTTGGTCTCATCGTTGCAGTAGTAAAGCGGAATACAAAACCTTCCAAAGAAAAAAAAATGTATGCAGGTCTATCTGTAGTCACTGCATGTTACGGGATAGTATTGTCAGTGTAGTGTATCTATCCGGTGATGGTGTTATTGTTGTTGTTTTTTTCGCCTATGCTGACTTAGTATTCTACAGTGAACAGCTATAACGTATTATTATTATTGTTGTTGCCTAGGAAAGCGGAGGGGTAGTGGTTTCCCTGTACTAAAAAGTTTATTAAAACCATGTAGTGGGTGGGTCTCTACTCACGGAATCTCCGCAACACAGAGTTGATCTCGTGTCATTAGGGCCCCGGAACCGTGTTCTGTCTCTTAGCCACAGCGCCGCCTTAATAACACAAATAGAACCCAGAAAATACATTGTATGTTTATCTCCCATCCCCTTCTGCCCCCCTGTGACTGGGGAAGTAAATACAGCGATGCCCCGGGGGTCGGGAACATGATCGCTAAAGGGACGGCGTACTTGTGCCCTCAAGTTGCTCACTATAAACAACGCTAAACACGTGCACTGATTTATTGAGACGGAAGAGTTAAGTCAGGCGCACGGCTCGGCCAAATTTGTCTGTTTATGTGTGTGTAGTTTATGGATATGAGATATATATAGATTCTCCAAGTTTGTTATTAAGCCCTCGCTAGTGTGCTCGGTAAATGAGCACGACGTTTGATGTGTTGGTAGCTGTGTCGCACCTAAATATCATAATATGCGAGTTTGCACTAGTGGGTATACTATTTGCTCACTGAATAATAATAAAAAAATACAGTGCTTCCAGTATTGGGATGATACGTATGAAATATGCATCTTTTTACATAAGAATTGTACGTGTGTTACTTATTTACATCTAAGTCTCTCATGTTTCCATCCAGCTTTGTACCTTATTTAAATAAAGAAAATGAAATCCCCTAGACATATTATTGACCATACAAAATCCCTTTAAATACCGAGGCCAACAAAAAAAAGATTAATTCCAATGTATTTGTACTAAGAGCCACCTTACACCTCAATATTCCGTCAACTTTTTCAACTCCCCACTCAATATACACACATTTTTTTCGTACTTTTTTTTTTCGATAACCCTTACCTCCGCTCCCACCCCCTTCCCCACATAGCCTCGTTGTGACCACCTTACAGGCACTCGCCGAGATGTCCCCCTTTCCTTCACGTTCACATCCCACGAGACCCCCCGAGGTGTCGTCTGCGACCTTTCTCGGGATTTTCAGTAATCGAAGACAATACTATTCCGGAATACGATAGCCGTTATGATCAGACGGAAAACGAAATTATTGACTAATTTCCCCCTCCTCCTGATGAGGGTGTCCTTGTGTTTGCTGAATGCTCTCTTCCCTCCAATCAAAAAAAGAAAAGTTTATTTTGGTAACAACAAAAAGTAGAAGATGAATACTGAAGGCCATTCCCCCCCCCCCCCCCCCTCCTCCCTAACCCAAATAGGACGGTTGAGTGGTAGAGCGTACGACTGCTAGCCCGAAGGTCTAGAGTTCGGATCTCGGTCAGGTCTACACAGCTCTGAAGGGTAATTGACTCACCTTAGAAAAAGTAAAGGTCAACACATATTAACTCACTACTTCATCTGTCCCACGGATTATTCGGTATGAGAGGTGAACTTTATATCATCTTCCCCCCCCCCCCCCACCCCACCCCACCCCACCCCCTCTCAGCCTCTAACATAACATATGAAACAAACTCACTTTGTCAAAACTAATTTGAACCCAAAACACTTTTTTTTTTGTACAAGCTAGCCATTACAGCACCAACAAAATATTGAAACCAAATACAGAAGACCCTATTTAAACTTTTCCAAATATTTTTTTGAAAAGCACTAGTATATAATGGTTAATTGTACTCGATTTCTATTTTTAAAATTTCGGATTTTCCCTATTATACACGAGAAGGATATTATGTGTTTGGTTCTGAACGGGATGTTGAAAGCGGTGGGGATGTATTTAGATGAGGTGGGGGTGCATTTTGATGTGATGGGGGGTGTCGTGGTTTAAACACACCACACGCTCATCAGGATCCTTTCATACCCGCTGCAAGGCTTGTAAAAACTCACTCGCGGGTTAGAAAATGTAGGCCCTCCCCGAGCCCGTGCCTAGTTGAATTTTAGCCGGACAATGACCGTGATTCCGGCTTTAAGCGCACGCCAACATGGCGACTTCCGGCGGGTGATTAAAAGTGCGGCTGATCAAACCTAATTAGTGACGCGTTTGTTTGGTGAAAGCTAAATCGCGATGGGCCCGGGCTTGTAATTAAACTTGGGTAAACTTCAGACAGATGCTAGTACCCCTCTCCCGTTAACAAAAAAAATGTCCCCGTTTAAATATTTGTAATCATCTTAAAGGTTTTTTAAAGCTTAAAATTAATGCATAGGCCTATTGATATTGGATGTTCTGTCTATAGAATACATCAACACCCGTTTTTAGAACTAGGGGCTGTGTGGGTTTTTTTTTTAAAAATAACTAATTACATCTAATAGTTTTTATTGTTATTATATTGTAATATAATCCCATTTTAATTTCAAAGATTTTAGATTCATTTCTCTGGACTAGATTATTGACACTCGCTTTATATTATACGTCGAGTAATTAAAATTATATCTATTTATATCCTAATCTTGTAAAAGTCTAATCGCGTAGGTTGTCTCTTCATTTTTACAACAACGAAAAAAATAAATAAAAAATGTTTACAACGCCGAGGCTGAAACGTGATTCGAGGACGAGATTAAATCGAGTCTTCAATTTCCCAACGAAACAGTAGCCGTTTCCGGTCCATTCTTGTGAGATCATGATGTAGATGTGTCCGTACCTGAGGATGGCTATGTGTGTGAATATGCCACAGGTAATGGTTCGTCTGTTCTTCGGCGTTCCGCTTGAGCTCATCCAACTCAACCATAACGGAATAGAAAGATAGAAAGAAAAAAAATTACCCTCTACCCCTTTCCGCCACCCTCCCTGCAGAATAAACCCCCGAGAAGATTTATATTAACTGGCGTACTTTAAAAACCATTTGAATAAATCGTCGTGAAGACGCGGAGATTTGAGACGAGTCTCGGCATTAATATCTTTACTCGACCCACGCTCGTGTGGAGAGGTTTAAAAGGTTAGAATCTGAGAGGGTGTATTGATCGTAGATTTAACAGGTACACATTGTTTCATCTTGCAGTTGTGTCTTAGTTCCATTTAGCTGTAATGTCGTTTTTATTTAGCTGTAATGTCGTAGTTTCATCTTGCAGTAATATCGTTAAATTTATCTGTAATGTCGCAGTTTCATCTTGCAGTAAAGTCGCTGCTTCAACTGTCCATAATGTCGTTTCACGTCACTCCGATGACGTGGTTTCACCACACTGTAATGTCGTATTTCCCTGCCTGTAATGTCGTTGTTTCCACCTCACTTCAATATCGTTTTTTGAGCTTGCTGTAATTTCCTTAATTCCAAAAGCTAGACATAGCTTCTGCTCTGTGCTATTTCGTTTCAAATGTAAGACATTCGATACTAAGCCTAACAACTGAAACATCCCCATGCAACTTGTAATGTAGTCTGGCATTCTTCATGTCTCCTTAACGACAATGTTTCACCTCCAGGTCTACATCTCACCTGGCTGTCACCTGTGTCTAGATCGCACACCTGTGCTCACCTGTACACAACCAGTGTACACCACGTGCTCACCTGTATGGCTGTAAAGTGCCTGTACAACGTCTTTAAAACCACAACGCCGTGTTTAAGTAAAGCACCTGTAAATACCTTGATGGAATGTGTAAGGTGAAGCCTTAGGGTGATTTAAAACTTTGGATGGTACGTTACACCTAGTCCCACTCTTTGAGAACTGTTAACTGCAGCTCATTGTGGCGTATATGTTACAGTTTCTTGAAATATATTACACCCATTAAATAAAATGCGCTGCGACGTATAATTTGAGAACCATTAAAAGCAACGGATTTATGGTCTATTTTTGTGAACCGTTTCGTGGAATGCATTTTCGGCCTGCACTTTGAAAATCTCTAATGCCGAATATATTAAACGTCCATTTTGAGAACCCTTTAATGCACGGCATATGGCTTATATTTTGAGAACCATTACATACAGTTCGTTACGGCGTATATTTTGAGAAATGTTTCGTTGAATGCATTTGTGGATCTCGCTTTGATAACCTTTTAAGTCGAATACGTAACGACGTGTTTTTTCATAATCCTTAAATGGAAGTCATTATCATTATGGCTTCTGTTTTAAGAACCGTTATGTAGAATACGTTCCGGCGCATATTTTGAGAACCGTCTAATGAGGCCCGTTTCTTCATCAACGTGACGCGCCATCTGTCAGCTTAATGTCTGTAGCCTGGTGGTGATAAAGGGAGAAGATACCGGTCTTTGTGCGGTAGATACCTGATTACAGGTGTGTGGAGGCAGGTGAGACAAGGTGTGTTGTCAGTATCTGACATTGTTTTACCTGAGTTGAGCCAGTTGAAGTCGAGGCCCGTTATCTACCGTAGTGTTAATTTATCAACGAGAAGGATAACGATACTGGCAAAAGAATAACACTACGAACGAAAGTGCGGCATGATGAATAAAGTGAATAACTATGAGCTTAAAGGAAATTACGATAACAGCGTGATAACTATAACAAGTGGGATAACTGTTAACGTAATGGATAACTACGTGAATGAAAGGGTAACTGAATAATATTCTAGAATTAAATTATTTTTAAGATTAATTATATATCAAATGTGATTTTAATGATTACTATGTGTCTGTGAATAAAGGATAATGTGGCTATAAGGCATTAAATGGGATTATGATTTAGCTATTAAAAATTCAAAACTTTGATTTTTATAAAGAAAAAAAGAAAATTAAGATTAAAAACGTATACACGCGAGTTTTAAGTACAGAAAATTAACATAACGAATCTATTAGCAGGATTTGATTACTTCTCGTTATTCAGAACCGTTCATTATTCCGAAACTGTATTGTCTAGTTTTGAATATCCAACTCTGATTTCAATCAATTATATATTAAACACCTGACATATGTCATACAACAGAGTGCTGTCAGGGCTTTGGTTGACGTATCTATAGGGTGCGGGGGTCGAGGGGGTTGTTGATACGATTCAGGTCAGTTGACAGCTCCTTAATGAGACCCCGGACAATGTATTTTAATTACAATTAAGAAACGTCACGTTTGGTTGGTTTGTCATGTTTCCGCTTGTTTAGTTAAGTTACGACTTGTTGTAGTGACTTATTCGTCTTCATTCTGCTAGACTTTATAGAGAAACTCAAAACATGATTTTGTGAAGAAGGCCCCCCTCGGAGGTCGGCGTATTGTCCCTCGCCAGTCGGGCTCGACGCTTGTTTCGGATCATAGACTCGAATGGCACAGCGAGGTGTCGGGTTACATGTATCCAGGTCGTCTCGGCTAATGGTTGACTGTTAGTTGACTTAAGTCAGCTAAACTGGATAGGTGGGGTTCATTCATGATTTGCTGGTGTCTAATAAACGGTAGCAAATATCGGACACCTGTTTGTTTAAATCAGCAGAAAACGTGTGTATTCGGCACAATTGTTTCGGATATTTAGTCGTACGGATACTACGTACCGGTAAGCTTTTAGCCTTTTTTTCCCACACTCGTTGGTTTTTAAATTCCTTACAGTAAATCATTTTAAATGTATCGGTTATTATTCGTGTGAGATAAGGGCGGATATAGTTGTGAACATTAACTAGCTTGTAGACCCGTCTTACGCTTAAAACTTAGAGCTTTGAACTCACTTTATGCTTTAAAAGATTGGTGCGTTGCTCACTCGTGCGCTCTCAGCACCATCAGATACATTATGTAGCAGCCGACGCACTAACATTTTTACTGTCACGTATTTTTTAAAAATGTGTCCTTTCTAATATGAGGGTTCCATTGTGCAGGTGAAGTAGAGTTCACTTGTATCAGTGACCACGGCACATAAAGATATAACACTCAGTCCCTGTATCAACATCACAAAAACAAGTAAAGAATCCATTGGGGCAGATACAGAAGAGTTGATATGTTTCTTGACCTCGGCGCATGAAGGTAAGGTGTGGTCAGTTAGGTACGCGTCAGAGCTGGGTGGACTCAGGTTCGTTCTACTGACTTGGACCCGGATTCGAGACTTTCTGTTAGCAGCCTAGCGCTCTACTGCTTAGACCACGCCGTCCGTAAAATCTCACATAGACTTGAAGAATTGATTTTTTTTTTTTAAAAATAGATATACATCATAGTCATCTCGTTATAAAATATCTCCATATTTTATATATACATTTTTTTTATGAAATAGTTTGTACTTTTTGTAATTACTTATTGGGTACTTCAGTCTTGATCCCATGAGCTTAAGGTGTATACGAATTGTATTATCAGGCTGATTATTATTTAGATATGCGAGTATGTCTGTAACGTCGAAGCCAACATTAGCGTATATTTAACACATCTTTTTTTTTAATAATTTAATCGTACATTGTATCTTAGTGTTTGTATAATTTGTAATTGTCATTTGCGTGCTGTCGTTGTTATCTTCTCCTTGGTTATTCTCGTTATCCACCAATAATCGAGGCGGGATCGAGGTCACCTTGACCTGATCACGCGAGTTCACTTCTCTGTTTTGAAGACCTGAAATATTTTTTTCATAGAGAAAAAAATATTTAAATATGCAATTTGTTAACGGCTAAAAATGACGTCATTAAATCAATGGGCGTTACTTCAGTTGTAGGATTTTTTTTATTTTTTTTTGGCAGGCATAAAATCAACGCATTGCATTGAGCGTGTCCCATAAATGGTGTCAAGTGAATTTTTTTTTCGGGGGAGGTGAAGGGGGTGGGTTAATTAAAAACATGAACATGCGTTTTTTGCATAATTCGAATAAAGCAAAATATAACACCCTGACGCGTAGAATTTTGCGCGAACCAGCAACAAAACCCAAGGCTGAAAAAAATATAATGACAGGGTAGCATAAATTCTCTTTTGACCCCCCCCTTCCCCCCACCTCCTTCTTGCAACGATTGCTTGATATGGGGGTTGGTGGAGGACTTCAAAATGCGACACATTGGGAATGGATGGCGTCTATTGTTCTTGTAAATTCTAGTGTAAGATTTCGAAAAGTCACGATTTACGTTGAGCATTTTCCTCTTCTTTTTTTCAGTTGAGTTGTGGTGATACAGTTGGGGGGGGGGGGGGGGGGGGAGAGAAAATGATGAGATATTGTTGGTGAGGTGGTATCAGTACAAAAATAAAACAAGAAATTTCGTTTTAGGTTTCTTGATGTGATGTATTTTTTGCACTGCGCTGAATTCTGGAAACCCATCGTAAAATTAAGGCAAGCCACATGTTACGTCGCATTGTGTCCCACCTTTTTTTTTACTCGTTCGATGTGTATACGGGGTGGAGTTGGGGGTAGAAATATAAAAAAAAAACTACAGAGATTTCTGTTTATGCTGTTTGATGTATTTTGCACCGCGCCGAATTGGACAGACAGACGGACAAAAACCACGCCTGCAAACATCTCCTGGGTGACGGTTACTTATTAACTCTCGCGAGAAGTGCGACACCCGTCCGTCGTCTGCAATTTTTCAATTAGTCTCGCGGATTTATTGTTCTCAATTTCCACCGCGAGCTGATGTAAAGGGGTGTGTTATTTTATTTCATTTTTATTTTATTTTTTTCGTATCTTTTTTTTTCCATTCACCTTAAAACAATCATTCACTTTTTAGAACTCGCCGCGCCCTCGTCCGGTCTAGTGATAAGAAAACACGTCGCGAGCTTAAAAAATTCATAGACCGTTGCACATTGCGTATCGGCGTCACAACATATTTGTCCGTCTATCTCTCTGAGCTAATCTGATAGAATTCTATTGCATCAAATCTATCGACTCTATTTTTTTTTCTTCTACCACGAACGAACGATTTGTTATCCAATTTTTTTTTCTTCTAATAGTTTATTCGTCTGGCAAATATAAATATATTTTTTTCCTTCTGAAGGAGATAATTTTCAATCTCTTTCTTCTCTCCCTCCCTCTCTCTCTCTCCCTCTTTCTCTAAACAAGCCTTCATTTTCTGTTCAATTTACCGCCCTGGTCGCGACAGCTTATTGAATGCTGCGCACTTCGGAACTTCCCGCATTCTATTATTACAGCCGCATAATACCACCGCGCACCGCTATCAACCATGTATTTGTGAATCACTTATCGCGGCTACTCACGCATACGCATACGATCTCCAGCGACCTTTCACCGCGGCTTACCACCCACCCCCACACCCTCCCCCTAGGGGTACCACACAACTACGGTCACTTCCGCGCCTTGTGCCTCCCTCCAACCCCCTCCCCTATCATTTTTTCCCCCTTCCCTTATCTTTTCTTTCTTTCTTACTCGTGAAAACATTTTTTTACCATATTCTGTGGTATTTTTTTGGGGGGAAAGGTAAGATGGAATAGGACGGAGATATACAAGGGGTGGGGGGGGGGGGGGTTGTCTGGAGCTAAGGGAGCTTAACAAAACGTATTAAAGTCCCCGGTGGGGACCGTCGCTTGGTCCTCTGCCAGGATGTGTGGCCCGTGGGGGTGGGGATGGGGGGGGGGGGGGGACAGTGCTGATGACACCGGGGGTCACTGTCGTTTTTCTAGTCCATTTCTCCAGGTTGATATGTAAGCGCCTTAGCACTGTATACTGCAGTATTGAGGGGGGGGGGGGTTGTAAGACATAGCTGCACTCAAAGATGAATAATTGGGTAGTATAAAAAAAATGGAAAACGCCCGCCAATTCTTACAAAATAATTGGGGGGGGGGGGGGAGACTTGATTATTGACTTAAGAAGACGTCTGAAAACTAGGGTTTTTTTTTTCTGTAATCCAGTAGCTATAGAAATTGTGTTACACTGTATTCACTACATTTTCAAACATCCTCATCAGCTGTGATAAGCCAGATTTAAACATTTTATTTACTATTTAAATGTGTCTTTCTAATTGTTTTTATTCTGATGGGTTTTGTTTATGCCACTGCTCGCCCCCACCCTTAAACAATCCCCCCTCCTACCCCACCCCTCCCACTCACCATCACCGACTCACTAGATTGAGGAAACTTAAACCACCTTGTTATCTGCCAGATAGCACCAATCATTAATTAACCTCTTATAATTATCTGATTAACTAACGAACTTTTGAACTATTTAAAAATATTTATCTGTCAGATATCACAAACATCAATTAACCTCTTATAATTATCTGATTAACTAACGAACTTTTGAACTATTTAAAAATATTTATCTGTCAGATATCACAAAACATCAATTAACCTCTTATAATTAATTATCTGATTGACGTACATTTGTACTAAAAAAAAAACTTTGTTAAATGCCAGATATCAACAACAGTTAATTATACTCTTACAGTCACCTAATCTACTAATTAATCGTGTACTATGAAGAAAAATTAACCTAACTTTGCACAATCAATTTATGGACAAACTATTTTATTTCTATTTTTTTTTATTCCTCATGAAATGTTGATCGTTAAAAAAAATGTAAGCCAGTATTTAAAAAAAATTTAAATTTCTTTTTAAACTCTCATTCCCAATCGCTCCCCGGGTCCTAAGGAAGGTGGGGGGGGGGGGGGGGAGCATCCAAGTGCATTTCTCCGAGCCATTTAATTCTGTTAAAGTTATTT